GGCAGGCTGGGTTATCCAAGGGGGCACAGGGATGGGGGCTGGGCCGGTTAGCTGTGGGGGCAGGCAGGGTGGGTTATCCAATGGGGCACAGGGATGGGGGCTGGGCCGGTTAGCTGTGGGGGCAGGCAGGGTGGGTTATCCAATGGGGCACAGGGATGGGGGCCGGGCCGGTTAGCTGTGGGGGCAGGCAGGGTGGATTATCCAGTGGGACACAGGGATGGGGGCTGTCCCGGGCCTGGCAGGTTAGCTGTGGGGGCAGGCAGGCTGTTTTAGCCCAGAGGCAGCACAGAGCCAACCCAGAGCTGGGCAGGTTAGCTGAGGGAGGTGCAGGGCCTTGGGGGCAGGTGAGGGGTTGTGGGGCCAGCCTAGGATGGGAGGAGGATACGTCTATTGGGACACTCTCTCTATTCACCCCACCTCTGTCCCCAGATCGTGTGCAAACATTACCGGCAGCTGGGGATCCCCCAGGAGCTGCGCGGGGTCTGGCGCTATCTGGACAGCGCCAGGGAGGCCAAGGAGTTCAAATACAGCTGCCCCAACAGCGAGGAGATCGTGCAGGCCTATCGCACCGTGGTCAGGCCGCTCAAGTAGGCAGAGCCCGACGCTGCCTCTGCTCAGCCTGGCGCTGCCCTGCACCCACTGCTCACGGTGCCAGTGCTGGAGAGGGGCCTGGGGCTGCCCTGCCCGGCCTGGTCCTTCTTCATCTCTCTGCCCATGAGCATCAGACAAGGGTTGAGGGAATTGGAGCCACTGCCCCTCTCGCCTCCCCTGGGCGCAGCAGCCTCAGGGCTAGGCCAGCCTGGACTCCTGGGGGGCAGAGGAAGCCATGTCCCCTTTGCCAGTCAGGACACAGGACAGGATGGGACCTCCTGGCTCCTCAAACCCAGTCGCTATCCCCTTCCTGTACTTATTGGGGGGAAGCTCATTCAGCACCTCTTCCTCCCCTCCCCCCACGCGACCCTCATCTCTCTCCTGCCGCCAGAGCCTTCTCCTGGCAACCCAGCTACCGCTCTCCTTTCAGCTCCTGCTCCACCAGCTGCAGAAAGGGCAGCCTCAGGCTCTGCCCCTGGCAGGGGGTAAGGGCAGAGGGGCTCCGAGTACCAGCAGCGGGCCCTGGCACAGCTAGGGTGCGGCCCTGTCTATACCAGAGCACAGCCCCGGTGGGGAGGGACAGGAATTGTAAAGCAGGAGTGGGGCAGACAGCGTAGATTGGGAAGGAGCCTTCCAACGTCCTGGAGCTCAGCTGGGGGCAGGGCAGCTAGCCCCAGCCTGTGGAGGGGGCCGGGCAGGGCAGAGGAGCCCAGGAGAGGTGAGGGGCAGAGAAGAGCAGTGGGGGCCCAGAAATTTGCATGACCCTCCCCTGCTGGGCTCAGCCATGCTCTCTCTACGGGGGCTGCTGGCTGGGCCCTGTCGGCACGAGCAGTTAGTGTCCAGCACTGGCTCAGGTCTGCCCCGCTTAGAGACAGGCCAGGCCAGGCCAGGCCACCAGGGGAGATGGAGGCCGGAGCACCCACTGCAGCCCTGGCAGCGGACACCTGCCCCAGGAGACGATCGTGTGGGACGTGGGGCTGGGCTGGTGCAGCCATTGCAGAGAGCCCGTGTGGCCTCACCAAAGCCTTTGACGATCAGTGCAGGGCCCGGGAAGCCCTGCATGGCTCGGCCGGGCTGCCAGTGCAGGACTCCGGGCTCCCAGCAGGCAGTGGCCTTTGGCCGTTACTCAGCCCCATAGCCAGAAGGAGTTCAACCGGGAATGAGTCTGTCCCCTCCCCATTTGATGGGGGAAGGGGGGGACCTGTATTATGTCAGAGCATTTAAAAATCAATAAATAGGAAAGCAAAGAGGTGGTGATGTCATGAATGAGCAGCCTGATACGGAGATGGGGCAGGGCTCGAGGGCAGATTCTCGCCCCCACCCACCCCAGCTCCGCTCAGCCACAAGGAGAGGGGATGCCCGCACGGCGCTAGATACATCTCCGCCTCCACAACAGCCCTGCAGAGACTTCAGACCCCGCCCCACCTCCCTACAGCCCAGCCCGTCACTGGGCGGCAAACGCCCCCTGCACGTGGAGTGGGATCTTCACAGGAGAGACGATCCGAGCAGGCTGGAGTCATGGGTTTATTTAGAATAAGTTACAGACACACAGCATGGAGTTAAAACATTGGTAGAAAAGTCATTAAAAACGTAATTCATGACAAGCCCCTTGCATGGAGCGACGGCGACGGGATGGCCTGCCAGCAGCGGGGGACTGAAGGGAGCAGCTGGGAAGCGTGAGGCTCGACCCCCTGGTGTGTGCATCGACTCTGCCCAGAGCTCAGGCCGTGGCCTCCATTGGAGGCTCTGCTCCCCGCCCCGGCTGCACGGCTTGTGGTCACATAGTGGAGGGCTCCTGGCCACGTCCACTCCCCACGATGTGGTTGAGCACAGGGCCGGGGCAAGGCTCTCGGCATTCACACACGGTGTGTGGCAGGAGGCTGGACGTTCATAGGTAGGCGGTAAACTAGTCTGAACAACTCATTAAAAAGCTTCATTAAGGGGACGCACAACAGAGGGGTCCAGGCTGGGTCAGGAGTCTTCAAAATCCACCCCGGTCGGTGCCTTCTTACTGGAAGAGAACGAGGGTTGCCAACTTTCTAATTTCTGAAAACCAGAGCCTCCCTCTCATCCTGTCTCTTCCCCGAGGCCCCACTCCTTGCCCCGCCTCTTCCCGAGGCCCTGCCCCCCCATTAACTCCCCTCCCCCCCCCGCCCTTTAGCTCAATCTTCTCCACCTTCCTCCTCCACCAGCTGCTCTGGGGCCGGGATGGGAGCTGCAGCCTGCTGTCTGCCTGCCCATGAGGCAGGTAGGAAGGAGGCCATGGCTGAGCGGGACCTGGTGCAGGTTGATGTCCCAGCACCTCCCCCCCCCGTCCGTGGTAACCAGACTTTTGGTGGCCAGTCAATACATCTGGCCACACTGAAGAGAACGGGGTTGAGTCACTGGCTGCTGCACTTGGACAAGCAAACTCAGAGGGCCATATTGGCAGCTCTGTAGCCGCTAACCATCGTACAACCCCCTCCTGGTCAAGGCTACCAGGCAACGGCCCAGCACATGTCTGTCCAGGCTGGCTCCAAGTGGCCATTGCAGGTCACTGGGCTGCAGGCAGCGACCCGGGGCTGGGGCTGGGAGAAGAGCAGACCCTGGGGGAGTTACCTTTTGAATCCTGGGTTAATGAGAGACTCTCCTGGGACTCGTTTCTTGGCTGTCACGGCTGAGCCGCCTCCCCTGTTCTTCCTGGGACTCAGGTCTGCTCAGAAAGGAGGAGAGCCGCTGGTCAAAATGCTGCTGCGGCCAGGCCAGGGTGAAACCTCGTGTGGCGACATTAGGCTGCATTTACTCAGCCTGGGAGCCACAGAGAACCACAGGGTCTGTCTGTGGCCAGTGGCCTCTATAAAGCCACTACCGGCAAGCCACCAGGGACATGCCGAACCTGTGCTTTTGGGCAAGAGGGTCCCCGTTCCATCCTCACTGCTGGTGCTGTGTGCCAGGTGCCCCGCTGAGCGGCCGAGGCGCTCCTGGTTGTCACCAGGTTTATGGTGGTGTTTAGAGAGGGACATGCTCCTAGTAAGCTTTGCTGGAGTGACACTGGCTAGAGAGCAGAGTCCTTTCAGTGCCTGGCAACGTTCCCACCATGAATCCAGGTGGAGGGGCATTAGGGCAATGCTGGCCAGCGTGCGGTATTGGCGATGGATCTCAGACACAGCACATACCCCATGGCTGAGTTATTGTTGCCGCGGACGCCTCGGTTCCCTGACTTTCAGTGACCATCGGTGAACCCCAACGTTGCATTAACATGGCGGGGGGCGTTTAATGGGGAGTGGTGGTGTCGAATTCATGGTGCACCGGGGAGTTCTGGAGAGTGAATGTATCCAACAGCAAGAAGAGCAGCAAAATCCTGACAACCATCCCACCCCTACCTGGGATCAACAGCCTTCGGCTCTGTAGCAGGTTCTTCTCTGGACTGCACGAAGCAGCAGCGGCGGCAGCATCCTCTGCAGCTAGGAGAAGGAGACAGATGACATCTGGTCAAGGTTTGCCCCAGGTGCAGCGTACACAGCCCCGTGCTCCCAGATCAGCTGCTTCGTGCAGTGGTCAGCACCACCCGGGAGGAGGTGCTGAGCAAATGGGGGAAGGGCAAAGTGCACGTGGGCTTAGAGTGATGCTTGCACAGCTGGACTTGAAAATACCCCCGAGCTGCGTTCTCCTCCTCGTGCCTCCCCCACAACCCTGCCCTGCCCCCCGCAATGGGTCACCATCAAACTCCCAGGGCACGGTGCCCAAAAGGTCCCTGTTTGCACTCCGTCATCTCCAGCTGGGTTGTTCTATTTACACTCTCCTCGCATCCACCTGCCCGCACAGCCAGCAAACAACCACAGGCCTTTACTCTTCTGTGGCCAACTGAGGTCCTGGCAGGCTCCAGCTATAAACCAATCCAACTATGGCTTCTCACCAGCCCTTCACACACCCAACTTCTGCACCCCTCTCAGAGCAACAGCCCTGAGGGCTGGACCCCCTTCCATGACTGTGTGTGGGAGAAGTGAGGCGGGATGCAAGTTACCCCAAACTCAGAGGAGGGCAGCACAACCCCATCAGCACCTCCAGCACACACACACCCTCCGAGGCTGGCTCTGCACCCCGGCGTGCTGTCCACACACAGGCTGGCCCAGTCGCAGCTTGGTTTTCCAAGTGCAGGTAAAACATTTTCCTCCATTATAGGTGGCCATGGTGCAGCCACCTCCAAGCACCAGCTTCCCACACACCCCGAGGGCCATAATGAGGAACCTGCCCGTGCCCAGCCCTGAATTAAAGCAGTGGACAGCCGATAGTAAGATAATGGCAGCTGAAAGCAATGGCCCCCTTCCCCGATTCCAACACACACACACACACACACACACACACACACACACACACACACACACACG